TAATATTTATTTATTTTTTCTTAGTTCTCGGCGGACACAACATCTTTGTTTGTATGTGGTGCTGAGGCTCGAACCCGGGCCGCACGCACGCCAGGTGAGCACGCTACCGCTTGAGCCACATCCCCAGCCCCTTGACTTACTATTAATGTGAATGTGATTATTTTCATTCCTTCAGATAATTGCAGTAGAATTTACAAGGAGGTCTTTAATTATGATAAAGGACTTTTCCTTTGTTTCTCTAGTTTAATGATATATATGCTAGATTTGATCATATATCATATACTGTTTTGAGATTATGAGGCTTAATCTTTATAATATAAATGAAACTATTTCTGGGATACTCCTCATTGTTCATCATTCTTTAAATAGTAAATAATAATGAATTTAATTTGCTAATATTTGGTTTACAGTATTTGCTTCTATTTTAAGTGAGATTTTCTGAGCTAGCTTTAATTTTTAGATCATTTTACTCTTGTGCAAATGAGTTTGGCAGTTTCTGACATTTTTTGCACTCTAAAAAATATAGAGATAAGTACATCATCATCCCATACTTTTGATCAAAAATTCTGGTCAAGTTCTGTCAGGTTTTCTTTATATATTTCAAAGCTAGAGGTAGAAAAAAACATTTTACATATTTTTCATGATTTTTTTTCCTTTTAGCTACATGGAATTAATTGGGCTTTCTAAATATTTTCTTTTTTTCCTTAAATATGTTTTTTTTGTAATATGAATATTGTTACTTGCTTTGTTGTTGTACATTTTTGGCTAAAAAACTAAAAAGGAGCTGGGGATGTGACTCAGTGGTAAAGTGCCTGGTACCATAAAATAAGTAAATAAATTAAAATATGCTTTATGAAGCACAAGAAAATTTCTTTTAGCAATAAGTTTAATTTTATTCTCATAGAGTACACTGTCATTGTTATATCATATTTTATTGTTATTTTCTGTGCTTTTCCCTTTTTTTTGTTCCTTGTTGGGTTACTTAATTTTTGTTCTATTTTCATTAGATTGACAAAGATTCATCCATACTCATTTTTTTTTCTGGTAAATTATCCTTCAATATTTGACATTAACTATTTTGATTGACATCATTACATCAAACTTCAAAGCTGATTTTTCATAATATCCTATTTCTTAAAAATACAAAAACATAACTTTATTTAAATGGTTTGATGTCCCATATTGCCCTACCTTCCTTATTAACCTACCACACTTCCACTGGTGTTGTTTTGGACTGGAGTCTAGTTTTAAAGAATTACTACAAAATTTTAATCATTACTATCAAATTCCAAAAATCTTTATTCATTTCATTGTTCAATACTTCATTATACTATTGTTTTCAAGGTCTTTGCTGAAGAAATCTGCTGGTTCTTCTTTCTAAATGAAAAGGTAGATTTTATTAAATAAAACGAGTCTTCTGTTCGAAAAGGACCTTAACTCATCTGTGAAATTAAAGAAAAAAAGTTATTATAACTAGTAATTCTAGGTTCACAGCTATATTTCTCAGAATGTTAAGAATATTGTTATAATGATTTCTTGTTCCAATATTGCAGGGTTTCTGTCTAATGCTAATCTAATCTTTAAACAATGTCTTTTCTCGTTGTTTGCTTTTAGAAATTCATTTCTAGTTTTCCTTCGCAAAAGTGTAATGTTTAATATTTTATAATGTTTTGTATTTTTTAGCCTTTTTTGCTTCTAAAACTAGTTATTTCTTTGGTTCTAGAAAGTTATTACTGATAATTTTTTTAAAAAATAATGTTAATATGTCCATTGGACAGATATAAGAAAGGAATTAATATATTATACGTGTTTTCTTAATCCTTGCATGCCTCTATGTAAGGCTGGTTCTGTAATTGACATACAACCTCTTTGAACGTGACCCTCATAAGTTATATTAATGACTTATGTCATTAATAAAGATATTCTTAGCACATGTAAAGAAATGGACTGTGCTACTCTGGCCAAACCAAGTTGCTTTACAAAAACATCAGAATTGATAATGTGCACCTGGTTTCCTTATTCAGCTCCTAAATATCAATTAATATAATTGGCTGTTTAGTAGGATATCCCTATGTGATTAGGCCCATAACAACCACAGTCCTTGAAGTCTTTAGAAGGTTTCCTTCAGCAGAGACTTTTCACACTTTCCTGTGGTTCACTGAGAGAAAACACATCCTATGCTCAAACATAGAAGGACTTAGAAGATTGTACCTGATGTCTCTAGATTCTACCTAATAAATATATTTTTCTTATTGCATCTTCTCTGAACCTTTTCATGTAAAAAGGCTTAGCCAATAGCATTATTTTGTATTGTGTTAGGCAGTAGCATAAAATGCTGTGAATCAAACTTATGTGGTAATACGGCTCCCAACACAATAAATGTTGAAAGATTTTAATCTACCTTTTAAAGTTTTTTAATCTCTTTTTATCCTTGATGTCATTTGAAAATATTTTCTTAATTTTTAAGCTTATTAGTTTTCTTTGAAAATATATTTGGATTTCTATTTATCCCATCAATAAAGTGATTCTGTTTGTTTTAGTAGTGATATTTTCTACTTAGAAGATCTCAGTTTAGTTCTTTCAATATGCCTGATTCTTTTGAAAAATTGACTTCTTGAATGATAGTATCCTGGTTTCTTTGTTTGTTTGTTTGTTACATAACCTACCATTCTTGTTTCACAGCTATTATTGATAGTTTATCTCTTTGTAGATGTTGTACTGGACTATTTAAGGTCTTTTTTACATCATGAGATTGTTATTTCAAAAGGATAAATTTTTCTTTTGTTAAGAACTTTTTTTATTGCACTTTCTTTCCTAATGGTTGTATTATTATCTTCTGCTAGAAAATAACCATGTGAATTTATTTATCCATGACTTAGCAATAATTTTCAGAGAAAGAGGTACTGGCCTTGTGGTCATGCCGTCTCTTGTTGTTTAATGTGGTACTGTTTCTCCCTTAGCCTTGAAGGAAGAAGTAAGGAGGAAAGAGGGGAAAGGATTTGTGTTTCCAGCTCTGAGTTTCAGTGGCTCTAGCCACCAATGCCATGTGTTCAGCAATGTGTTGGTCACCAGAAGAGTTGGGAAAAACTAGCCTTTACTTATGTCTGTATTTTTATGTCTATAAGTATTTATATATTGTGTAGATTTTGTTTTGATCTATTTGTATTATGCTTTACAGAATTATGTAATGGATATCAATTTTGTTTTAGATTCTTCTAGATCCTCCAGATTGTATCAAAGCCTTTAAATTACTCATATGAATATCTCATTCCCTAGTTATTTCTTTTTGCCTTGTGCTTCCCTTGAGTTGTATTACCGTCTCAGGAATACATGATGTTGAACAGTTATGATTGATTATTTTCAATAAATATTCCCTGGAGACTTTTTTTCCCTCCCACTGCATTGCCTCCAGACCTGAGTCAGATGAAATAGAGAAAAGCCTTGGATCAGAGCTTTTTGAGGACCCACCAGATTGAAAAACTCATGAAAATTCTCTTGGCATGAGGTTTTTTGGTGGAGCTTGTACCCAGTATCCTTTTCTAGTGACTGTTAATCTAATATTTTCCCTAGCTGTCATGGTAACAAGCTGTTGGTTTCAAGGCTATTGCAAAGCTAGAGAGAAGAGAATCATAACAGCATTAAGTTGAAATGTTCTAGAACTCCTCTTACTAAGATTTAGCCACTTCTATCCCCTGCTTGAGTAAATGCTTCTAAGATTGCTTGAAAAAGGTGTGCAGCTTGATTTTCCCAATCTTTGTGCTTTCATTGCTTTTCTGGAGAAGATTTTAAGTGGTCCCAACTCTGCACATTGTACACCTGTCGCCTCCCTCCCAATCTGAGGTCTATTCTTATATTGCAAATCCCATAGTCACACCAATGCCAAGGGCAAAAAAAAATGTTTAATCCTAGCATTTCCCAGAATGATAACTGGATTTAGGTGGTGAATACTCTAATAAATGCCATTTCCCATAGTTAGTGTGTTGGGCATTACTTGAAAAATGAGACAATGCATAGTGCAAATTGCTTTGCCTGATTCTATCAATATAATTATGTCTTGTAATCAAATTGATTTAGAAATATGTTTCTAATAATCAAACACTTTCTAGTTTCTTACCAAAGTCATAAAACAATTCTACTTTTAAAAATATTTTATGCATATTTAGCTATAAATATTAAGATTAGACCATAAATGATCTACTGTACTAGATTGAACTCATTCTGTTTACTTGATTTGTGCATGTCTTACAATGCTGTAAGAAAATCTAACTCTAAATCTTGTCTGATATTGTTGAGAATGGGAGGTATATATTGTAATAGTACACTTTTTATTTTTGAAAGTAGTACTTAATTTATAAACAGTCAGTGCTACACTTTTTCTAACTAATGATGCCTGTACACTTATGTTCAAATATATCTACAGAGCCTGAAGGAGACAGTGAAGTAGCAGCAATTGAAATGGCATCTCTGGAAATATTACCCATTCCCCAAAGTAGAACTAGTACCACCTGTATTCACATATTGCTGTGTTCACAGCTGGATTTCACTATGAATTGCTACCTTCTTCATATTAAATTAAGTGGCTTCCTACATAAGATTATTAAAACTCCAGAGGGAAAAAATGGTTTGGCATATGTTTCATGTCTCCATGCCTAATAAATACTTAAGGGAAAAGTCTTGTAATATTTTTAGAATGAATGAGAAGTGAATATGTATTCAATAAGATAATCTAACAATTCTTTGCAAAAAAATAACCACTTATAATTTAAAGACCATTTCAAAGCTACAAAACTGGTGCTTAAAATTATAAATATTTCTTCTCTTGAAAAATCTACTTTTTTATAACAATGACAAAAGTGCTGCATAAAACATAAATGTTATCATTCATAAGGATCATATTTGTAGAGGTGAGGATTGAGGTTGTAGAGATGTGGAGATCATTGTGGAGATGATGATACCCTCATGTTAGTTATAACTTCAAATTGATAACCAGAAATGTAGTCCATGTTTTTGACAAGGTAAAATGGTAAATTCACAGAGAGGTAATTTTCAATAAATATGTATCCCGAGTCAGAAATATTTTCATATTACCACTGCAAAAGTAAAGTAGGTATATATTAAGGAATGCACAATAAAATTAAATTAGATTATCTCCAAAGGAATTTCTAAAGTATGAATATTTGTTTTATGTTTCCTATATTAAATGAAAAATCAGTTTAACTTAAATCTGTAGAGAATTTTTGAGTAGGTTATATTGGTAGGATGTAAATCAGGACACTAAATTATGTCTATGTAAGATCATAAATTGATAAATTGGACAATGAACTTTAAAACTAGATGAAACTGATGACTGGGATGCGGTGGAGGGATTGTAAAATGGTTTGAGAAAAATTTCTACAGTTGGAATTCTCATGTTAGGGAAATAACAGATCTGGTGTTCATTAGTACAAATGCTTGGCCAACTTCACTTCAGGTTTGTTGGATTCAAATACTATAACAACACAACACAGTAGAAAGAATTCATTAATTCATCTTTAATATTTCCAGTGTTCTCAGGAGATTTTACTCCTATCTCTTTAGTCTTTACTAACATGCATGAAATTGGCATTGGAGAGTCACACTTATCCTTCATTTGACTATTTTCTTTATAGCTGAGCAGCTACTTTCTCCAGGAGAGAATGAAAGTTGCTGCTCTTACATTTATCCTGTCCTTTCACTCACTCCTCTCCATGAAAAGAAAAATAGTATTTCTGAGAACTGAAATCAGTGTCCTAACTCAGCATAGAAAGGATTCAGTCTGTGTGGAGGCTACCTGGTTCTACATGATGCATGCTGTTTCTCTCTTTTCCTGTAGATAGAGTGTTAAATTTGTTCAACCTCTTTGTCTTGATGGGAGATGTTTTAGTCAGCTTTTCATCACTGAGACCAAAAGACCAGACAAGAACAGTATAAAGAAGGAAAAGATTATTTTGTCTCATATTTCCAGAGGCTCAATCTATAGTTGCCCAACTCCATAGCTCTGGGCTGGAGGTGAGGCAAGACATTATAGTGGAAGAGCATAGCAGAGAAAAGCATCTCAGGAAATGGCAACAAGAAAGCAGAGAGAGTTTCAGTCACCAGAGACAGTATATAAATCTCAAAGCATGATATCAGTTATCTACTTCCTCCCCTCATACCCTATGTTTTATAGTTACCATCTGGTTAATCCATATCAGTGGATTAATCTGCTAATTCAGTTTTGACTTCATAATGTAATCATTTTACCTCTGAACATTCTTGCATTGTCTCACACATGAGACAGCTCATATTTAAATCATAACAGGAGTAATGCAATAGGGAACCTAATTTTGACATTAGAATCTAATTGGCATTTTCTGTCCTAAATCAACTAGGATTAAAATGGACAGCCTGAAATAACATTTGGACCGAAACCTAAATAATGGACACAAGTCACCACCATTTTAGAGCTGGAAAAAAACTAAGGTTCAGTTATATTAAATTATTCTTAATTTTATATATGTTATAAATATATGGCAGAGGTAAAGACAGTGGAATGAATCTGACCTATTATTCGTATGTACCTATATAAATATATCAGAGTGGATCTCACCATCATGTACATCCACAAGACATTAATTTAAAAATAAAATTAAGTAAGATCCTTGCTTAATGTTGACTGGATACATTAGTTTTTGCCTCATTAATTTCTCCATAATCTTGTTCTTCACACAACAGCTTACTTTCTCCAGAGTGAATGATCTAATAGAGAGCAAGAGACATAGCAATGAGATGAAAATTACAGTGTATTTGTAAGCTAATCTCTGAATGGACATTCTGTATTCTTCATGTTAGAGGCAAGTCACTCAGTCTAGCCAATATGGAAGAGAAGGGATCATTCACTAACATAAATACTACCAGGTGGAGACTATCAGAAGAAATTTTAGACAGTGTTTATCACACTTATCTAGATTGTGGAGGAGAAGTGTTTGTGGATGTTGGAGTAAAATAGAAAAGTTTGTAACAGTACTGTACAAAGAATGAAAAGTGAAGCATCAGTTAATTTTTCATTCTTATTGGGATTTGGGTGAATGAATGCAACATTAGTGTCAATGAGTCAGAGTAGTTTACTATATTTAGGAATAGGTCTGAGAGAAAGTGCTATGCTTTGGATATAAACTGTCCCCTAAAGATTTGTGTATTGCTTTTGTCCCTGGCCCCCTTCTGTTTCTCACTGATTTTAGATCACCATAAATTGAGCTGCTCTGCTCTACCGGTGTACACCCTGTTTACCATCCAATCAAGCGAGGGCTTTCTTGAGAGAAGAAGACAATTCCTGCTTGGCTGCTTGATCTGGAGCATTAGTCTTCTGCCGTTGGACTGGAACTTATTTGGCTTTCCTGATTCCCAGGTCTTTTAGTACATACTGGGACTGTGCCATCAACTCTCGTGGATCTACAGGTTCCTGACTACAGGTCTTGGGACTTCTCAGCCTAAAACTTTGTAATTGTATGAACCCATACCTTATAATGATATCTTTATAGATACATGTATATGTATGTGCACATTTATGCACATGTGTTTCCTAAAGGATTGTATTTTTCTAGCCAATCCAATCTAATGCTGATTTCAATTTTGGAAATGGAATGCTCCTGGAACAAATATCCACAAGTAGAAAAGAAGTTTTTTAAATGGGTAATAGAAAGATGCTGCACTAGTTTTTAAGTGCTTACTATAAATATAGACACATTAGTAATTCTGGTGAGATCTCAGTAAGGAATATTTTATTGGAAACTGGGAGGATAGTTTATTATTATAAATTAGCAAAGACATGTTTAATTAGCAAAGACTGTATTCTAGTGTTTTGTAAAAGAGAACTTGTGATCAACAAAATTAGATATTTAGGTAAGGAGATTCCAAAAAATAAATATTAAAGGAGTGGCTTAGTTTCTCCTGACTGCTTCCAATAAAGTATGAGAGAAGAGATGATTAAAGGAGGAATTGTTAAGCTTAAAGAAACCAGAACATAAATGCTTGAAAAAAAATGTCAGCCTGTTCATATTGCAAAAAAATGAGGAAGCATATTCAGAAAAGAACGTCAAAATGTTGCTGGGCTATTACTCAATAAAGAGCTCATGGGATTATATGAGCAGAAACACTATTCACTTTAATGAAGTTGACAGGGATGGAATGAAATGAAGGGGGGGGGTGTTGAACTCCTTAGATTCTAAGAATGGAACCATGTAGTTATTTCGCCTTTGAAACCTTTAAATATCCCCCCCTCCAGAAAAAAAGGAAAGAAGCAGTATGGAGATTTCTTGGAAGATTGGTAATGGAACCACCATTTGACCCAGCTTTTCCCTCTCCTTGGTCTATACCCAAAGGACTTAAAAACTGCATACTACAGGGATACAGCTACATCAATGCTTATAGCAGCACAATTCACAATAGCTAAACTGTGGAACCAACATAGATGCCTTCAATAGATGAATGTGGCATATATACACAATGGAATATTACTCAGCAATAAAAGAGAATAAAATCATGGCATTTGCAGGTAAATGGATGGGGTTAGAAAAGATAATGCTATGTGAAGTTAGCCAATCCCAAAAAAACAAATGCCAAATGTTTTCTCTGATATAAGGAGGCTTATTCATAGTGGAGTAGGGAGAGAGAGCATGGGAGGAATAGATGAACTCTAGATAGGGCAGAATGGGTGGGAGGGGAAGGGAGAGGGCATGGGGTAATTAATGATGGTGGAATGTGATGGACATTATTATTCAAATTGGTACGAATATATTTTGTATACAGCCAGAGATATGAAAATTGTACTCTCTATGTGTAATAAGAATTGTAATGCATTTCACTGTCATATACAAATAAAAAATAATAATTAAAAAAAAGAAGGATCGTGAAGGCAATGTAGAGATCACCATTTCCATTTCAAGAGGCCAATGTTCTGACTGAGGCCTATGGGGCAGGACTACCCTCTGCAGCCAGGGATCCAAGGCTTTCCAAGATCCTTGAAAGTGTAACTTCCACCAGGTAGAACCCTGGAAGCACAACCCAGTAGGTACTAGAATCAGAAATGAAAAGTAAAGCATCAAACCAAAGAGGGTTATTCTTATACTTTAAGACCTCACAGAATTTCCTTTGTTAAATTTTTGATTTGCTTAGGACTACACATGTTTATTTTCTGCTTTTTTCTTCCTTTTAGAATGGAAATGTCTATTGTATTCCTATCCCATCAATGTGTCTTAGAAGTACTACTTGTTTGTATCCACATATTCACAATTAAATAAGAATTTTTCCTTAGTATGAATCACAGTCAGATTCTCATCCATGTATGATTTCAATGAGATTTGGATAAGATTTTAGACTTTAGACATTTGTTAATTTTTTAGAATGAATTAAGATTTTGGGGACTATGAAGATGGAATGAATATACTTTGCATGTGAGAAGGATATAAATTTTGGAGTCCTGTGTTAGAATAGTATAAACTGACTTGTGTGCACCTAAATTTTGTATGTTGAACCCCTGAACCCAGAGTAATGCAATCTGGAGAAAGAGCCCTTGGGATATAAATGGTTTTAGATGATGTCAAGAAGGTATAGCCCTTATTATGGGTTTAGTGTTGCTATAGGAAGAGACACCAGAATGTTAGTGTTCTCATGCATTCTTTCTCCTCTCCACCACTCTTAAATGAGAATACAGTAAAACAAAGGTCATGAGAATCCAAACTGATACTCCAACCACAGGTTTTCCGTCTTCAGGACTGGTGGTGGACGGAAGCAGTGCTTGCTGTCTAAGGCAACCAGTCTACAGTAATTTGTTATGGCAGCTTGACTAGAATAAGATGCCATCCACTCTATTTTCCACTGTTGGCTCAGATGACAAAACAGAAGTTATGGTGTGACATAAATGCAATTATATAGACAAAAACACTAACCTGGAACAAAGGAAAGCAGCAGCGTAGCTGGACTCTGCCTCCCACATTACCTCATGGAGCCTCCACCTAATGCTTCTACATGAGTGAGAATGATAAATGATAAACTTTTGTTTCAAACTTTAGATAAATTATTCTATTATATTCTTCTACCTTATAAATAATAATAATTCTTTGTAATTTGTGCATATATCTATTTTTTCTTATACTAGTGAGTCTTATAGATTTCCAATGGTAGTTTATTGTTGAGTTTTCCATATACTATATGAGATGTGAATGTCCACTTTTAATGTAACCTTAAGAACTTATCGCTAATGTTGGAAAACTGTGGCCTTTCAAATTGCATGCAATTAGAATAAATAAAATTTGAAACTGTTACTTTCAAAGTTGGGTTCGGAAATATATGATTAATGAAAGTATTAATGATGAGAATTTGGTCTCTCTGAGATATTACTAAGAAAATAAATGTACTGAGTGAATTTATGACTAATTTAATTATTATGTATATCTGATAAAGCTATGGTGGTTAAATGAACCATAAGTGTTTTGAAAATAACATCAGCTTGAATTTGGTTGCTGAACAGTACTATAGAGAGGTAGGTCAAAATGATACCTTGCGTAGGCAAAGAAGACAAAACAAAACAAAATTAAATATTGGGGAAATTTATAATCTAAGAGACAATAAGAAGAAACATACAGTTTCCTACCAAACTCTTTTCTTCTTCTGGAGAATGAAGCAGGGTTGAATATACATGAAGATGTTGTGCTCTAGGGAATGAGCCCATTCACCCTCTTATTTTACCATCTTATGACTATTGTAAGAGTGTTCTTATGAATGTTTGGAGAGGGGTAAAGTTGTCAGATTCCATGTCAACTCTTCAGAGAGTTGTAACATTCCCAAACATGGAACACTATTTGCTGAAAAGACGAGGAGGGCTGGGTGACTGCTACCTTTGCAGTCTGACCCCAAGTAGCTCATTGCCAGTCTACCCCAAGACATTTTCTGCTGTGATTTTTTTGTACCTGTGCAAAAAATATTTGTCTTCACAATAGAAGGTATAGGGCTTTTCAGTGCTTCAGATTCTCATAGGCTGAGAGCATTTAGCATTTGCTGTTTTTGGTTCTTCTCATTTCATTCTGATTCTAAGTACAGGAAACAATGTTCCAATATATCCACATAACCTCTTCCTCTGTAAAGAAGCATCCTTTTGTGGTTTTGGTATAACATAAATAATTGAAATTCAGTCTTCTGAGTCAGTTTTTATAATTTGGAAAACATGAAATAATACCCTTTGTTTTTTTTCATAAATGAGATTGCACTGGGTATCATGTGCTACAACTTACTTTTTCCTGCATCTGTTCAGATTAGTAAACACATTTCTGCATTATTCTTTCAATTCTTGTACTGAATTCCATTAGTCATACAATATCATCAGACATATTCGTTATAGTGGGCATTTAAATTGCTTGAGTATTTTGTTTAAAATATTACATAATATGAGGAATGTTTAAATAACAATCTTGTAAGATCCTTTCACCACCCCCTTTTTAAAAAATTTGTTTTAATTAGTTACACATGACAGTACAATGACCTTGACATATCATATATTTGAATCAGATGGGATATAATTTCTCCTTATTCTGAGTGTAAAGGTTGCAGAATCACATTGGTCATGCAGTCACATATATACACACAGCAATAATAATGTCTATTTCATTCTACTATCCTTCCCTTTTTTCAATGCATTCTTTCTAGCATGATGTTTCATTTAATTTTTTTAGTACTTTTTAAAAATTTACTATAGGGATTGTGTCATCTTTTTTTCAGGTTTTGTCTTTTTTTTTTCTTTATGGGAAGTGCTTATCAGAGAAATAAGAATATAGTAAATGAAATACAGACAGTTTTTAAAACTTACCTTAGATAGTACATATTTATTTAATTTTTAAAATATGCATATGTATTAGAACATGTGTACCTATATTCTTAATTACTATTCTCCAAAGACCAGAATTTTGTTAGTTTTAAATCCTTCTTATTACTAATTATTAGTGCCATTTTCTTATATCATTATTAGAAAGATTAGTACACTCACACATTGCTGGAGGAACTTCAAATTGTGTTAATCACTCTGAAAAACAATATGGAGATTCCTCAGCACACATGGAATGGAACCACCATTTGACCCATATACTATTCCTTGGTATATAAGGTCTTAAAATCAGCATATTATAGTGACGCAGCCACATCAATATTTATAGCAGCTCAATTTACAATAACTAAGCTATGGATCCAACCTAGGTGCTGTTCAATGGATAAATGGATAAAGAAAATGTAGCATATATACACAATAGTACATTACTCAGCCATAAAAAGGAATAACTTTATGACCTGGTAAATGGATGGATCTGGATACTATTATACTAAGTGAAATAAGCCAATTTCAAAACAATAAAGGTCAAATGTTCTTTCTGATATATGGAATCTAATACACAAGAATGGGAAAGGGAGGACAAAATAAGTTCAGTAAATTAGACAAAGGGAAAGGGAGAGGGGACAGGAATAGGAAAAACAGGGAATGAATTAACTGTAAAGAAAAACAGAGACGGAAGCAAGCAAGGTGCAAGGGGCAAAGTAAAAAGGGGCTGCTCTTCTGAGCTGCCAGGTTTATTTATATTCATAGGTTACATTAGATCATTGACATCATTAGTACATATTGCTCATTGTATTAATTTACTATTATGTGGGCAGGTTTAGGTACAGTGACACATTAGTGTTGTCTGAGAGAGTTCCTTTATTCCCAGAAGCTGAGTGTCTGAGATTAAGCTCCAGGCTGATAAGACTCTAGCACAGAGCCTCCTCATGAAAACATCACCACAGCAGCTAGGCATTGAGTGTGTATTAGTCATCTTATTAGTTCTAGGGAGAAACTGCAGAATATTCCAAAATGGAAAACAGGGTGCCTGTTGCCCTCCAGGAGTTTGCTCACTAGAGAAATACTGCCTTGAACATATCCACAGCTAGAATCCTTACATCTATCATAACTTTACTATGTACCTACATGAATACACCTCAGTAAATCTTCACATCATGTACATCACAAGACTAGGATCCTAATCAGAATAAGATACACTTCATTTTTTTTTGTAAACATGCCAAAATATAGTCTGCAGTCATGTACAACTAAAAATATTAAATTAAAAAAAAGATTTGCTCTTCCAGTATTCTTTAAATTAAGTTATTTACTTACATTTAGGTCTTGGTTAGCTCAATTTCAACAAGAAATGCATGTTTTCCCAGTGAATTTACATAAGTGTTATATTTCAGACCTGGTATTTTTTAATATATATATTTTTTAGTTGTCAATGGACCTTTATTTATTTATATACGGTGCTGAGATTCAAACCCAATGTCTCATACATGCTAAGAAAGTGCTCTACCACTGAGCTACAACCTCA